TTCCCTCGGGTCTGCCTTGGTGATTATATGAGATGAGCACCCAACCAAGGCTATTTTTGGAACTCTGTGAACACGAATTAAATATATGTCCCTGTCCTCATCCATCCATCCATCCTTCCTTCCAGCATTCACTGTGTACCTCTCAGTGCCCAGCACAAAGCCCATTCATTCCTAGAACTAGAAATTGTGTGAATAGTTTGGGTCTATCCTCCTGCACTTAAAAAAAAAAAAAAAAACTTTATACGTCACCTCCCCTCTGACGCATACTCAGGTTGTTTAATTTGCTCTCATGTCTGTTTTATTACATGTAAGATTTACCTTATTCTTTTCAGCTGCTGCACAAAATTCTATCGCGTGGACATATCATACTAGTCCTTTCTCGACGCACATGTAGGTCGTTTCCAATTTTCTCCCACCATTTCCAGCGATGGTGCAATAAGCGTTTACATATAATATTTATAATATTTAACTACACATAAATAAATAAAGAACACACACACACTTAGGGAAGTACTGCTGCAAAGTAGGTTCCCAGAAGAAGAATTGCCGAGTCAAAGGACAAACACATTTAAAGGTTTGATCAATATCGCCAAATTGCCCTCTAAAAAGGTTCTCCCGGTCTGCGCTCCAGTAGGCGGTGTAAGTGCAGACCCCTTCCCCGCAGCCTCACCTCGGGCTGACCTTGCATTTAGAAGGATTAATCTATTCATGAGCTGCCCTGACTTGCATGACACTGAAAATTACATCTATTTTTAGTTGAAGGAAAGAAGCCCTCATGGGTCAGGATATTGAGTAGTTCACAGCGTGATTCATTTGGTTTTTGGAACATAAATCTATTCCTGTCCTTACTGTAACATTAAAAAAGCACAGTTTATTTTTTATTTTTTGGCCTTGATTTGTGTCTCTCTCAGATTTCTTAGAAGAGATACCTGCTTAAAAAATGAAGTTGTGTAGCTTACCAAGGAGCCCCTGACCATGTTTTCCTTTGACTGATTGGTGTAGATCAAGTGAAAGGGATCAGTTAGGCTCTGTGAACACGACAGAATCATCCTTGTACTCTCGTCTTGCTTGGGAGGTGGGAATAGGACGTGATCTGGTCACCTGACATTCATGTGCCCGTTGGGTTGGATGCATGTGGACTTGGCACCCCGTCAGGCCCTTGGATGTGGTGTGGATGGGCAGGGCTGCAGGAGCACTGTCCCCAGCACCTTTTGGCCGCTGGGCACTTACCTGCACAAAGTATTGGTTCCTCCGTGTGGCTTTTGAGACCAGGCAGTTTTTGGGGTTCCAGCCTTCTGCCAGCTCCTTATCTCAGCTGCTGCTTCTCAGGCCTTATGCTCGGTCAAGCTGCTCCTTCTCTTCTGCCTTCTCTCACGTGATGGCCTCTGCTTGACATGGCTTTACTTCCAGATTGTGCCTCAGCATTTCTTCAGCTTCTGATTCCCAGCTCAAACACTGTAGTCCTCAGGAAGCCTCCCAGGCCGGAATCCATGCCCTGGTCAGCTCTCGGCCCCTCCCCTCCCCTGGGCTTGTGGAGGTCTCTGTGGACACCGGAAGCCCAGCCTGGCCTTTTGGCCTCAGTCCCCACTGTGGAGGTTGAGGCTGGATATGATGGCAGGCTTCCATGGCTGACTGCTGGTTTGAGTAAATTCCTATCTTGAAACCTCCCATAAGCCACCTGGGGCTTCATTAGCCTCAGCTGGGGAAGTGGCAGGCAAAGACATTGTCACGAGTCCAGGTCAGTCTTTTGAAGCTATATTATGATTATCCAGAGAAGCACAGAGACGTGTCCAGCATGCTGAAGAACCAGGAAGAAGGAGCCACTTAATTCAGGGTTTTGGGGCTCATTACTGTTTCTTGACACTACTTCCCTTGACTTTGGGAACCACTTAAATGTCCTGCACTGCCATATTTGTCTAATGGAGAAACTGGTCTTGCAGTTAGCTCCTTGCCTGGGAACAACAGAAAATAAGGACACTTTGGTTTATTTTCTGATGAACTTGGCTCCTCATTTAAATATCATCATCCTATGAGAAATGTATCTATAGGGCTGATTGTCAGCTTGTTCACAGAGAAGATATAAATAAAGCTTTCTTGGTTATTGATTAAGAAGATTTATAGTAAATACAAATAGAAGATAAACAAAATTCCCTCCCATTCAAAGCAGAAGGAAAATGAAGAAGGACTTTTCCTTAAGGATCTTTTTTTTTTTTTCAGTTCTTTGCCAGGGTCTGGGTTTGAACCCACCACCTCCAGTATATGGGGCCAGCACCCTACTCACTGAGCCACAAGTGCTAATGGGTTTTTTGGAGCCTAAATTTGGGCAATAATGGTTCAAATTTTCTATCTTATTGAATATAATTTTTATATTATTATAACCAGAAATCACTGTCTTCATGACTCAGAATGAATACTCAATGTGTTTTCACAGGTAAATTAGCTCATCTGTGTCATCTCGGGCCAGCGTACTGGAATGAGAAACTGTCGTGAGCAGACCCACTGGGGTCTTTTTTCCTCTTTTCTTGCCCACAGCAGTTATTTCTTTCTTCTAAGCTCTTCTTAGTTTATTGCAGTCATCGATCTCTGCCAGGAGAAGAGAGGATGACTGTGACTAGAAGGTCTGACTGGGAGCTGGGAGCCGGCTTTGAGGAGAGGTGGCCATTCTCCCACCCCAAGGCTCCTGGATCAAGTACGTTCCCCACACTAAGCTTTGGGTTCCTTTTCTCTGAAATGAGGAAGTTAGACAAGGTAATCCCTTAGGTGACTGCTAGCCTAGAAGCCCTCAGCCACGAGGTTGTGTGGTTGCACTGCACAAGTGTGTGTGTGGTAGTGGAGTGCTCCTTTTCTGTGCCGTGCCTTGGGCAGAACACTGAGGGACCAGCTATGCTCTGTGGTTACTCAGCTGTGCACCAGGATGTGTGCTAGGTGCTGTCAGGGATTCCGAGTAGGGGCCTGTGATCACATGGAGATAGATGTGTATGGAGCTTTCTGTGAGACGGCAGTGAGGGCTGAAAGCAGGGACAGTGAGAGGGATGCTGATTGCCAATTCTTTTTTTTTTTTTTTTAAGAGATAAGGTCTGGCTCTGTCGCCCAGGCTGGAGTGCAGTGACATCATTATTGCTTACTGCAGCCTCCAGCTCCTGGGCCCAAGTGATCCTCTCACCTCAGTCCACTGGGTAGCTGGGACTTTAGGTGCATGCCTCCATGCTCGGATCTTTTATTTTTTTATAGAGACAGGGTCTCACTATGTTGCCCAGGTTGGTCTTGAATGCCTGGCCTCCCAGAGTGCTGGAAGTACAGGTATGAACCATGATGCTGATTTTATAGGACATGAGTGAAGGAGAGATTAATTTAGGTTGATCAGAGGTATCAAAATGAGAACAGGGCTCTTGTTCAGAAGGAGAGGAAGGCTTGTCATGGGGGAAGCAGGAACGAGAGGAGAGGCCGGGAGATGGGCAAGTGCACGATGAGCTCATGGAAAGGGAGGCTCCAGTGCAGACGGCGGGCGGGGAGCCAGTGAGACAGTGGAGTTGGCAGAAGTCGGACTGCAGAGGGCCTTGGAGGCCAGCGTAAGTCCTGGGTTTGCACAGAGCCTTTCCTTCCTGAGGTGGCTGGTGATCATCCCTCCTCTTAGGACTGATCCCCGCCCCCCCACAGAACACATGGCAGTCTGGAGACAGTTTTGTCAGAACTAGGGCATGCTGTTGGTGTTGGTGGGTGGAGACAGGGCTCTGCTGAGGACCCCACAATGCAGCCTGGTAGGGACCACTTTCCCCATAGACATTTACCCAACTGAAGACGTCATGTTGAGAAATTTCAGTCTTATTTTGCAAGATGCTCCCAGAGGTAACCTTTACAAACTATTTCAATCTCCTGGGGTCAGTGTCTTAAGAGAGATTCAGAGATCAGGACGGAAGGCCTGGGCATGCTTTGTTCTTCATGTTGGGCTATTTCCCCCAAACCCTGTTGCAATGGCTGAGAATGTTGGAGCCTCAAACTGAAGCTGTCTGAATTCTTGTCTGTAGAATTGCTTAATATGGTCTTTAAAACCAAGAAACAGGAAAGTTTTAAGGAAAAAAGCATCCAGAAAGATCAGTTTGTTTGGATTACAAGAATCCATTTTTGTATTTTAGCTGTCTAATTAATGCCCGTGACATAGTGGGCCTCTGTTCACTGGCCCTTCCTCTGAGTCCTGCCTCTGTTCTGTTGCCCGTCCTGCTTGGTAGCTGTTGGCTTTTCCCACAGTAATGTCTGCTCCTGCAGGGCAGGGTCATGCCGTGCCTGTGGGCACCCCCAGGCCAGCATGGCCTGGCACAGTGTGTGTGCTGAAAGGATGGCAGAAGGAACCTACAGAGTGCATGGTGACCCGGGCGGGGCCAGCCGGTAGGGCAGTGTGTGTTTCCCACAGGTACTGTTGAGACCTGGTGCCACCTGAACATTTGGAAGGACACTTGTATGCATTTGAAGCAGCTTTTAATGAAGTGGGGCGGGAAGGCTCTGGAAGGGTACTTCCTGCTGCTGCCATCAAGCATTCACCCCCTGAGGACCTCCTGGAGCTGGTTTTCCAGCTCAGTTTAGTAGCAGCCTTGGAGGCAGAACTCTTGCATGCCAACAGCAACTCAGTCAAGGTCAAGCTGTGTATTTGAAAATCAAGTTTTGAGTAAAATTTGCATCATAGCCCCCTGCAGGTGGTAGCATTCAGGACTTTGATGGGAAGAGCTATGCATAGAAATAGTGTTTTTTTTTTTTTTAAAAAGATGGCATTAATTAGACAGCTAAAATACAAAAATGGATTCTTGTATTCCAAACAAGCTGACCTTTCTGGATGCTTTTTTCCTTAAAACTTTCCTGTTTCTTGGTTTTAAAGACCACGTTAAGCAATTCCATGGACAAATCCTTTGGCCACCATAAGATGTTCGTGGTAGACCAACCAGTAGTCAGCTAGGAAGTGGGTGGTTTATTTGCTCATTCAGCAAATATGCACAAAGTGTCCATTCTATGCTAAGCACTGTCTTGGCACTGGGGTTATGGCAAGGAACGCCACAGAGCCCCTGTTCTCGTGGGGTTCATGGATAAACGAGGGACGCAGACATGCAGGAACTGTGACACAGTGTCAGTGATCAGTGCGGCGAGGAGAAATAAGGCTGAGCAAGGGCTGGTGCCTGGGCGGGGACTGAGGGTGTGCCATGTCTCACCTGGGAGGGTCACAGCAAGGGCCCTCGGGGGAGGAGCGATGTGAGCAGAGACCTAGACCCTGAGCGAGTGGGTCCTGGGGATGAGGGGACTGGTGGAAGCAGGAGGAAGAGCACAGGAAAATGCCAGCATGGAGATGAGCATGGCAGGTTGGAGGGACTCTAGGGACATTTCTGTGGTTTGTCAGGAATGAGGAGACAGACAGCCCAGCAGTGGGGGGCAGGGTTCCAGAGGGAGGCAGGGGCCAGGTCTTCTTGGCCTTGCTGGCAGTGGCAAAAGAGGATTTGGGTTATGTCTGTGAGAGATGGTGAACCTTGGAGGGTTCAAGTGTGAGCAGGTTACGTTTTGTTTTCATAGGGTACTGTGCCGAGATGTGGTAGAAGCAGGGGGATGTCAGGCTGCAGAAGTGAAGGCCAAGGGCTGTGGTGGTGTGGACAGGGTGGTGGTGCCGAGAAGCTGGCCTGGGGAGTGGGGGTGGTGGGAAGGCATGAGGCTTGAGACCCCAGGGTGCTGTGCATTTCGAGGCTGGATGGAGCAGATGCAGGTGGCCAAGGTGACATGTCTGGAAGGGGATGGCCATGGGGAGCAGCCGGCTTGGGGATTGTGGGTCTTGTGTGCTGAGACACGAAGGTGCCCTAGAGGGAGGAATGGGCCCTGGCACCAATGCCACTGGGAAGTCTTCTACAAAGATCGAGAGTGATGCTGCATGTGGTGAGATGGGCATCCCAGGTGCCTTCCCGGGGATGGCGAGGATAGACCTGACCACCTGCACAGAGTGAGCTGTGGTGTGTGTTGGGGGGGTGAAGTGGTGGAGCCAGAGCCTGTGCACACCCTGTGGAGGAGCTTTTCTGCAGAAGGAGACCAGAGGAAGGGGATCTAAGCTGGAGAGAGACCAAGGATGGTTTTTGTGTGGTTGTTTTTGCTTGGTTTGTTTTAAGGATGAGATGAGCAAGGTTATGGCCTATTTCTGTGCTGGTGGGAGTTATCCAGAAGAGAGGGGGTGGTTGGACGGGGCCTGGGTAAGGAGTTTGAGGGGAGGATGACCTCAGTGCTGGAGCAAAGATGTGAATTGCAGGTGCCATGGACCTGTCACAAGGGGTGGTTGGTTCTGGTAGGAGTAGAGATGGGGTTGACCTTTTGATGTTTCTGAGTCTCAGTTTCCACAACAGTGAAATCAGGGGAAAGCATCCCCTTTCCCCCGCCATGTCTCCATGAGGATTAAAGTGGGGAGGGTGAAAGCTCTTCCAGAACCACCGTGAAATGTGCTTGGGCTTCTTAGTGCAAATAAAATGTGGAGGCACATGGAGTTTCACGTGTAGGGGGACCTGCATCCTGCCATTCTTCACCAGACAGATGTTGATTGTGGCTTGTGAATAAAAAAGCTTCCGACTGTGATGCCACTAACTGTGAATGTTTCGTCTCTTTTCCAGAAATGGCTACAAGTTTCTCTACTGCTCTGCCCGTGCCATCGGCATGGCGGACATGACGCGGGGCTACCTGCACTGGGTCAACGAGCGGGGCACGGTGTTGCCACAGGGCCCACTGCTGCTCAGCCCCAGCAGCCTGTTCTCCGCTCTGCACAGGTAACTGCCTCCCCCCGCCCCCAGGCTTCCCCGCTGGTCTTCTCCAGCCAGCACTCATGCTCCATAGTGGGCGGGCGCCAGAAGAGTCCTCACAGGATGCAGGCTTCACTCTGTTAGCCCAGCAGGACCCTCCACTGGCTCGCGCACCCTGGGGATGAACTGCAGATTCATTAGGGGCACATAGTGTACTTGGGGGCTCCCCATCTCCAGTCGTGTGTCCAGTCCTCTAATTCAGTCTCTGCCACCCAGCTGGTGTTCTCACTTGGGGCCTGTGCACATGCAGGTCGCTTGTTTGGCGGTGGCTTCCCTGCTCCCTTCCTCCGGGTGGTGTGGCTGAGTCTCACTGGGCTTTGGAGAATCACCTTATACTCACATCACTGGGGAAGCTAGTCTGGGTTACCAACCACCACTGTCACACTTAGGGTTCTGGACTTGGGCTATCAGCTGGACTTGGACTCTGTCACACTTAGGGTTCTCTCTCTGAGTTCTAGAAATGCTGTGTATTAATCCACTGGCCAGTTCCTGATCACCCTCCTCCCTTCACCTTCTGGGTGTTTAGGGATGCAAAGGCAGGCTCACTCTTACACTGGGCAAGTAAAAGCCTGGGCTTTTCTGCGGCTTGAGGCCCAGGAAACTTTTCCAGACTCCTCTCAAAGCATGATCTATTGTGTCAAACATAGGACATTGGACCCTGCTAAAGGCTGATTCTTAACACCCTGTACTTGGTCTTTAAGTCCCGAGGTGAAGCTTTCCCATCATTTGGCCCACATTTGAGGACCAGATCAGCAGCTTGCTGCTGCTAACCATGCAAACAGTAGCAATATCTTCTAGAGGAACCCAAAATGCCATGTTGAGTCTTGAGTATTTTTCTTCAGCTCAGTGGTTCTCAACCTGTGGGGTGCGACCCACAGGAACTGTATTAAAGGGTCGCAGCATTAGGAAGGTTGAGAACCACTGCTTTAGCTCTATAGATAACCTTTTCCATCACAGCCTTGTTTTGTGGGAGCACTAAATTTTTTCCTGTAGTAAAAGATCTTGAATCTAAACTTACACATTCTAGGGAGAAAATTCAGGCAAAACTTAGTATATTTCAAGTCCTATGAGCTATGATGGCAGCAGAGATTGCAATTGAAATCCCAAGAATTTAATGAAACTGCGTCAGTAGCTACACTGACAATTTGCAATGGGCTACTCAGGACCATAAGATACGTACTATGGCCTTGCTAGGCTAAGTAAAAAGCTGACATTATCACTCTGACATCTGGCCTCTAAAAATAAGTTTAAAGAGATCCTTTTCCTTTCCTTACTTAAAGATCATTGTCCAAGATACATTACTTTTTCCCTATGAGGAATTATTTTTCAAAAAGCAAGCCTCACATTTGATATGTCCTTGTTGGAGATGGGGGTGATTCTGCGGTGAATAGCTGCCAACCAGGTCCTTTCTGTGGCTTCATTCAAGGCAAAGCCATTCCGTGTGTTAGCTGCTTGCAACTTTTCCAGAATTGATAGCTAAGTGTGCCATGAACACAGGTGACCCTCCTTAGTGAGACTTTTTAACTGGGTGCAGGTCTGGTTATGCTGCTTAGATTTAAATTAAAACGAAGGGAAAGGAATGTGGTGGGTGGGTATGCTTGTCACAGGGTTGGCCGAAATAATCTTTCAGCATGGGGGTGGGGTGGCAGAGACCACGCTGAAGTGGGAATAGGCTCCGTGAGCTGTGGTGTGCCTGGGCCACTAACAAGGCTGCTGCATGACTGGAGAGCCGTATCCCTCCTTTGAGAGGCTCTGTCCTCAAGCACCAAATGGGAAAGTTGGATTAGATGATCTCAAGGGTCCTTTTCAGCTCTATGATTCTAGGAAAAATATATCTGAAAGAAGTAGAGAGGAGCTATTTCATGTACCTAATATTGGTTCAGGAGCTGCTCTTGTTAAGGTAGAAACTGGAGTTGAGTTGTGTGGTTCTTTTATTACCCACCCTGCTTGGTTATGGAGACAGAACTACTCAGACCATTTTCATAAACCTCTCTTAGCACCATGTGTGTAGGGCTCCAGGTTCCTGGAGGTATCTGGCTAGTGATTTGGGCTGGGGGGAAGACAGCCTTCGCTAATTCCCCTGACTCTTGGAGTTGAATTAGCGTGTGTTAGGTGACCGCAGTGGCTGGCCTCTAGCTCTGGGAAAGGAGATGTTATTCTACAGGTTACTTTGCAGTTTTTGAGCTGCTATGAGACTTGGACAAATGACACTTGTTTGCTAGAGTAAAATTATCTCTAGGACAAGCTATGTGACCAGTGACTGTTTGCAAATTCAGATGGTCAAAGAGATTTGCCAAGGAGCAGTGTATATTGGTCACCACAGCAATTGTCAGTAACCCTCAGTACCTACTCCCCAGGACCCACACTTCCCAATGAGGAGTCAGGCACCTTCAGAGCACCAGGTGGCATTGGGCCAAGGAGATGCCATTTCCCCACATATGTGTCATTGTTTTTCTGCTCACTCTTAATGCTCCCAAGATAGTTGAGTGTAGCTGTTAACTCCGTCATCTTTGCTTCTGTGTAGTGTCTGGTCATATGACTCCACCCAAGTTTATTTATCCATTCTACTGGCGATGGATACTTGTGTCATTTATAGTGTTTTGCTATATTAAATGCTGCTATAAAATCAGCATTTCTTGGGTGTGTTAGTTGGAGTCACACCTGCAGTACTTGCTGTAACGTCTAAGGTCTATGCTTGGGAGCGGAATTGCTGGGCCATGTAGCGTAGCACATACTCAGCTTTATTAGGTCATTCCAGACTGTTTTCCAGAGTCATCGAACTAATTTTGCACACCCAGCAGCAGTTTATAAGACTTCTATTTAGTCTACTTTCTTGCCAATGTGTTGTCAGTCTTAGATGTTTTGCTGTCTGGTTTGAAATGTCTCTTTTCATCTGTTTATTGGCCATTTGGGCTTCGTTTTCTGTGAATTCAAGTCTTTCTGTCCATTTTCTTTTTGATTTGGAAAAGTGTGTTATATATTCTATATACTTTGCCTTTGTTACGAGTGCTATAAGTATCTTTTCTAAGCTTATAGCTTTTGTTGACCATAAAATTCATGTAGGTGAGCATATCATTTCCTCTGTAGTTTGTGCTTTTTAGGCATTAACAAAGTCTTCCCTGACCTGTGGGCATAAAGACAATTTCCTATATTTTTTCTAAAGGTGCTGCCATTCACATTTAGGTCTGTAATCCACTGGAATTGACTTATTTACGTAGAGTGAAATAAGGGATTAAATTAATTCTATTTTTCCTGTATAGATATCCATTTGTCCTAGCATCATTTACTGAAAAGATTGACCTTTCCTTGCTGCTTTGAGATAATATTATAGTCATGAAGCAATGTGTGGTTCTGTTTCTGGGCTCTCTGTTTTGCTCCACTGGCAAAGGGCTGGCCAGTTGACCAACACCGTGGTGTCTCAGCTACCAGAGCTGAAGGGGTCCTTGCCTTCCCATCAGAAGTGTCCTGGCTAGAATCAAGTTCCATAAAAACATAAAGAAATCTGTTGTGAGTTAGATTAACATTGCAGATCAATTTAGGGAGAATTAACATCTCAAGGTAATATTGACTCTTCTAATTCAAGAATATTCCATTTCTTTATTTAGGTCTTTCCTAATATATTTCAATGAAATTTTATAATTTTAGCTATAAAGGTCTGGCGTATCTTCTGTTGAGTTTATTATTAGACATTTAATATAAAATTATTATTATTATTATTTTTTGAGACAGAGTCTCACTTTGTCACCCTCAGTAGAGTACTGTGGCATCATAGCTCACAGCAACCTCAAACTCTTGGCTTTAAGAGATTCTTTTGCCTTAGCCTCCTAAGTAGCTGGGACTATAGATTTCTGCCACAACACCTGGCTATTTTTAAAGACAGAGTCTCACTCTTAGGCTTGTCTGGTACTCCCGAGCTTAAGCAATCCACTAACCTTGGCCTCCCAGAGTGCCAAGATTATAGGCATGAGCTACCCTGCCCAGCTCTGATATTGTAAAATTCTTATTTGAAATAACATTTATGCAGTTACCTTTTCTGTCTATTGCTAATTGCTAATGCATGAAAATGCAACTGATTTTTGTACCTTGATTTTTTTGTGTGTGTGCATTGACTTTTTTTTTTTTTTTTTTTTGAGAAGGTCTCTAGCTGTCACCCTGGGTAGCATGCTGTGGCGTCATAGCTCACAGCAACCTTAAACTCTTGGGTTTAAGTGATTCTCTTATGTCAGCCTCCCAAATAGCTGGGACTACAGGCACCTGCCACACTACCCAGCTTTTTTTTGTTGCAGCTGTCATTGTTGTTTAGCAGGCCCAGGTCAGGTTCGAACCCACTAGCCCTGGTGTATGTGGCCAATGCCCTAGCCTCTGAATCTGCAAGTTCCTTTTAAAAATGTGGATAGTTGTTTTTTGTGAATAATGACCATTTTTTCCTCCTAATCCTTTCTAATTCTTATACCTTTTCTACATTTTTAAAATATCATTTCACTGGCTAGGACCAGAAAGTACAGTGTTGAAACAATGAGAGAGACCACCACCACTTCCTTGTTCATAGGATGTTTGCTGTAGGTTTTTGAGTATTCACATCTATTCCTGGTATTGTAAGAGTTTTTTCATCCTGATTAGATGTTGAAATGCATCAAATGCCCTTTTTCTATCTGTTGAGATGATCATTTTTTTTCTTTTAACCCGATACAAGGTGTTGTATTACATTAATGGATTTAAAATATTAAGTTACTCTTGCATTCCTGGAATAAACCCAGTCTCCATTGCTGCAGTTTGCATAAATGTATATACTTAGATTTTTTGCACTTACGGTCACAGATGGGATTGGCCCAGTCTTGGCTCATACTTTTCTTCCTTGGGTTCTGTGTTTGCAGTTATGCTGGCCTCATACAGTGAGTCGGGGGAGGGACCCGCTTTTTCTGTGCTCTTTTTCATTCTTTGTTCTATAGAGGACTGGCAGGACTCAGGGGAAATGGTTAGTATTTGATTAGTGGTTTGTTTTTTTTTTTTGGTGGGGAAACCTGAAAGTCCAAATTTGTTTTGTGTCTAAGTGCCTTTCTGGGATGGCTTAACTGACTGAGACGTATCTAACTTTTGAAGATAGAAAAGTGTTCTTAGCGTCCTTGCAGCTTTGACGGTTAGAAGTAGCCTGATGCTAGGGAAGCTGATCCTCTTGTGCTAATCTGTGCTTTATTTGTTTGTTTTAACAGAGAAGTGATTGAAAAGAAACCGGAAAAGTTTAAAGTCCAATGTTTGACAGACATCAAAAACCTGTTTTTCCCAAATACAGAACCCTTTTATGCTGCTTTTGGAAACCGACCAGCGGTAAGTAGTAGATTGAATATGTAAGAACTTGGGAAATTACCGCCTGTTCTGAAAGCCCTGGCCTAGAACTCCATGTAAAGCCAGAGTCTTATCCCGTAACAAATAGCAGGGTAAATAGCCACTTGCTCCCAGCTAAAGGCAGGGAGATTAAAAATTATTTTATGATGTCTGATGTCCTTTGAAGGTTGGCTAGCGGGTAGAAGCTTGAAATGTGGAATTTAGAAACTAAATTCCAAATTACTTGTTAAATTAGTAAAATAAGAACACTTAATAGGATTAGATCCTTTCTACCAGAAGGGAACCACAAAGCTGTCCCTCACCACGACAGCTAATGTAGCCTCTCAAGTTTTAGGAGTACAATGAGTACAATATGGTCTCTGAGGCTGAGAGAAACGCTTTGAGATTTTCACGCTTTGCCCAAATTTACTGGAAAGTTCAGTATTCCAGAGAATATAGTTGGGTACTAACTGCTGAATCAGAAAATCTTCCTACTTTTGGAAGTCTTGATGATTTTCATGAAATGGGAAAATGGGTCAGAGGACAACCTGAAGGGATGTTAGAATTGCCGGGGACACGGAAGGTCGTCTGCTCCTTCACTCAGTCTCTGAACCGGAGAGGGAATTGGGCCCAGAGAGGAAAACTAATTGAATTGTTTCCCACCAAGGGAAACTCTTTTGCTCTACTACTCTGAGGTGTAGCTCTGGTTAATGAAAATTTGATAATATTATCAATATATCAAATCAGAAATATCATCTTCTCTTACGATGTGCTCTTTTTTTCCCCTAACCTTAAATCCTTAAATCCTCTTTACCAAATACAGGATGTGTATTCGTACAAGCAAGTGGGAGTGTCTTTGAATAGAATATTTACCGTCAACCCTAAGGGGGAGCTGGTTCAGGAACACGCAAAGACCAACATCTCCTCGTAAGTATTGTGCTTCTTTGGGGATTACCTTGCAGCGATGCTTTACAGTTGACAGTATAACCCACCCCCCACACCCGGCCACCCTTAGTGAGTATTGTGCTCCTTTGGGGATTACCTTGTGGTGATGCTTTACAGTTGACAGTATACCCCCCCCCCTTGCTGCTGATATTTTAATCTTTACTTCCTATAAGGAAAAGTATATTTTAACTCCTTGTACTTTGTCCAAAACTTAATTTTTAGCGAATTGGCATTAAATCAGATTCCCTCTGGGTTTAAGATTGAAACGAGTGGTTAGATCCTGCTGCAGAGTGGAACGGAATGAATTTGAAGACTAGCGGCTTGGATTTGCCAAGTTAGGTTTGAAAGCCTCAAATGTGAATTAGAAATGTAACCAAATTGAAATATGTGAAGTTATATTTAAATAAGAGAAACTCTACATCTCTTCACATACCAAATGTTTCTCACCAGAAACATTGCTGCGTAATTGTTAAAGAGTTCCCCTCTTTTTTTTGTTTTTTTTTCTGGTCAAAGCCCAGCGTTCCCGAGTCAGTGGGCTAGATTTGATTACTGTTTTTAACGGGGCATCCTGGTTTGCTGCAGAGCGTTACTTTGGGTTCCCAGCTTCTTAGCGTGGAGTGCACATCCTCATTTCATGTGTTGGGGACCACGTCGGCCCAGGCAGACAGTTGCCTCCGTGCCCTGTCAGAGGCTATGACTCTTTTGTTCCTGTCTATGAAGACCTGGAAAGACCTTCTGGCCTGAATGACCAGACAGCCTGCAGGGCCTGCTTCATCTTAAGGGGGTAGACTCGGGGTGCTTAGACCTATGGCCCCTCCAATCACCTCCTGTGGTTTTAGATAGATGAGGGATTTATGTTCCCTCCAAGCAGATTTTCACTTTTAAGATGATGATTGTAACACTTAGGTTCTGAGCCAGCATGAATATGCTAGTTCAAGGCTAATGGGAGCCCTGGGCTGCCCTACAAGCCTCCTAACCCCACAGACGCACCAGTGGTCAGGTGGTCCTCAGGGTATGCAGACCGAGATGGAAGTGCCTCACACCTTGCAGAAAGGAGGTGGTGACAGGCCACAGGCCTCCCGATTGGAGGAAGAGCAGGAGGACTTGGCCCCTTTCCCTACCTTTTCCTTCACCTCTGCCTTCTCCCTGACAATGTGCTCCTTCTCTCTCCTCCTCCATTTCCATTGCAGGGTGTTCCCACACAGAAGGCTGTGCTTAGTCTGAGGAATATCCAGTGCCTTTCCTTTTAGGATCAAAAAAGACCTTTAGCCAATAGGACACTGCCCCAGTGTGGCAAAGCAGCAGGTCTTGCCTTCTGTGCAAAGAGGGGGTCCAGCACCTAGGAGGGTTTGCCTACGAGGCCTTTGAAGTCATTGTGTTTGCTGAGACCCTGGGGTTACAGGGCAACTGGGTGCACATTTGTTCATTGCCAAGGAATGTTGTCATCTAACACCTGGACTGGGGATGGGTTTATTCGTGGCTGGGAGAGAGTAACTCTGCTCCCTGGGAAGCACACATTTTTCTGGCATTGAACTTGGTACAACGGTTTCTAAGCCAGACAGGTACTTGTCACTCAGAACCTGGGACAGTCACCTGAAATGTCTTTACATGGAGGGGCCACGCTAGGTAAGAAGCTCAGAGCTTTCTCCCTCAGTGTGTGAGTGTCAGTGCTGGAGCTCGGCGCACACTGAGGGGGGCTCAGAAGATGGAGCCCTGCTCGCCGCTCAGAGCATGCGAGGGCGGGTTTGATTCTAGCGCCCACCACAGCCTGGCAGGGAGCTGCTGCCTGTGGGAGGGGCCTCCTGCCACAGCCACAGACCGCAGACAAATAGGCCTTAAAGCCGGGAGGTATTTTAAAAATTTGTCTGTTTATTTTAATCCTCAGGGAAGACATAATTCTTGGCTTTATATTGAAAGACATTTTCCCCATTTTGTGCAAGCACGCAGTTTCTCACCAGTCCTTTGGAGGTCCTTTATTAAATACACACTCATCTTTATTTAAGTAAGTTATTGTATGCCTTGAAACATGCTAAGTCCTGGAGTTTGGGTTTTGAAAAGCCCCTTTTGGTTCTTAGCAAATTGCAATCGGAAAGGGACCCAGTGACTGTCAAGGAGGCATGTAGAGAAGCCTGGGTGTGTCAAGAGCGCTATTTGGAGGGGCCAGGGGGTCTGAACATGCATATTCAATCTAGCAACTTTCTTTTCAGAGTACTTGTCACAAACACTATGAAATAATATCTAACATCTCCTGGGGAGTGCACAGATAATAGAATGAGAGAATGTTGGCGGGGTCATTAGAAACCCTGCTCTAGTCCAACTCCACACACCATAAAGATGAAGGGCCTGAGGCCCAGACAGGGCACGACACTTGCCTCAGATTACCTAGCAAGTAAGGCAGGAGTGGATTCCCAGTCTCTGGACCCTCGTGAAGCTCTCAACCAAAGCTTTTTTCCCTGGGACTTGTTAATATTTTGTAGTCAAATACATGTCTTGAGTATTTGGTATACACTATTTTATTGTTGTGTGCGTTATTGTTTTATTTACCTCTTGTATTAACACTGTGGCCCAGTTTTTATTTTCGTCCCTTTACAGTGGAGGAAATTGTGGCTTAGAGATGGTAAATCCTTTGCCCAAGATCACACAGCTTATTAAATGGCAAGCTAAAGGTCAAATCTGTGTCTCCTGAACTGCAGGACCCAGTGTTTTTCAGTGTACAGTGAGGTGATCTCGGTCTGGGCTTCCAGAGATATGCCCTGTCTGCCATTCTTTCCCTCCTGGAACCCCCATATGTGACCCCTGCAGCAGGTGGCTGTCCCTGGGCCATGCTGCCTTCTTCCTGACCTCTGCCATGATCTGCCCCCTGCTCCTGTCCTACAGGGGAAGTCGAGTCCCTCCTTCCTGTCCACGTAGCCCACTCTGATTCTCCTTTGCATACTCTTCTTGGAGTACCTGTCACAGATACTATGAAATAATATCTAATGTCTTGGCTTTGATTTCCAATCAATTAATAAGACATTGTTCTAGAACCGCTTCAGGTGTGTTAAATAGGTGGTCTTCTGCCTGCGGCCATAGATACTTTTTCCTCCCATCCTTAGAGCACACCCTGGGTGCCTCACTGGTGTTGGGTGATAATCACAGCATCCGTCTCCCTTGCAGGTACGTGAGGCTCTGTGAAGTGGTTGACCACGTTTTTCCGTTGCTGAAAAGAAGCCATTCTTCAGACTTTCCCTGTTCGGACACTTTCAGTAATTTCACCTTTTGGAGAGAGCCACTACCACCTTTTGAAAATCAAGACGTGCATTCTGCCTCAGCATAAAATGTACCAAGCAGCCTCCGACGGCAGTGCAGAGCCGGGGCGTCACCCATTAAAGGATAGGTTCTGGGCAGCGTGCGGCTGCAGCTTGGGGGCGTGATGTGCGGTCGGTCGTTTGCTTCAGAGCAGAGAGAATGGAGGCGCATCTTTCCCCTGCCCCAACCCGGGAGTGATGTTTCTAAGGGAACTCTGGAGGGTGTACTTTACAGCCGGGGAGTCAGGTGCATTCATGGTGTGGGAAGCATTCCTCATTTGCGGCTTCGCACGTTGTTATACAATGCTGCATTCCCAGCCAGCCCAAGCGGTTAGCTACTGCTCCACGTGCAATAAGAGCCCGTGAAACCCAAGTGGAAGGTGGCTGTCTGAGGGCCGTCCCCACCAGTGACAGCATCAGTTGAGGAACTCCAGATGGGCACAGTTCTTGGCAGAGTAGGGGGTACATTTCCTTGTAGCAATGTTTGTGCCACCTTCTGCACAGAGTGGGGAGGGCCGTGAAGGGTCACGCGACCTCAATCTGAGGTTTCTGAAGGGAATCCAAACCTCACTGGGTCTGGGCCTTGGTCCTGGTCTTGGCCTTGGGCTCACGATGTTCCCTTGCAGTATTCGTGAACGAGTCTCATTTTTAGGCGACAAGTTCTTTAATTCCTTTGGTTAAAGGCAGCCTATTGAAGTGGCATCTTTTCCCCATTTTTCGCAGCTCAAGGCTGGAACATTTATGCCTTAACACATCTGTGGCAGACAGTTTATTTAAAATGCACTGTATCTAGCTCTTGGTAACTTTTGCAATGCCTTAAACTAAAGTGAGAGTTGAATGTTATGAAGGCAGTATTTTGGATCACTTGAACACTCAGTCAGCTTCCTTTTATCCGGCAAGGTGGTGCCAATGATGTGGACTTGAATGTGCTTATGCCAAATGATAATGATGTTGACTTTTATTGGGGGGTCTCAAAAGAAACTTGTTAGTTTTAAGAAAGATATTTTCAAGAAGTTCAATTTATTCTTTGTAGATATTATTTATTTACTCTGATTAGGTTACTATTATACATATTTTAGTCATATTTTTTTTCTTGTCAGCTGTCACTAACATATCAAAAGGGATTCTATATAGTTAACCCATCCAAAGCGCCTTACTCCATCTGCGTCATAGGCTGGCCCTCTTTTGGCATTTATAAGTAATTTATTTTCCTTAGCTCTTTCCACTCAAATGCAGGGCAAGTGAAAAAGTAGTAATGTGAGTGGACCTTCTTTAAGCCAATAAAAGGTGATTCTTTTACTTGTTTATTAAATTGGCTTGTGGTTGAAAACAATGTGAAAAGTAAAAACAAAAAATTACTTTGTTAAAAGATTTTGCTTTACTTTCTGAAGTATTATTTTTTTAAATTTTGTTTTGCTCTGATGATTGGGACACTTTCCTCTTTAGATTTCGTTGTTAAGAGTCATAGGAGGCAGAAAATGGAACAGGTGAATGAAATTTCACTCTTTCTGCGAAAGAGAATCCACGGAGTCGTTGCCTTTATGTGGTTGGCAGGCCCTGTCAGCATCGACGCCTTTGTCGGACGGTTCACATTGGCAAAGGTGGGAGGCAGACACGCGTGTGTGGATGGCAGATTTCCATTGAAACACACACACGCATGTGCAGACTCCCTTCCAGAGGTCGTAAAAATAATTAAAAATAGCCCTGCCTCACCTAACTCCTGTGGGCTTGTTTACTAGAATCGTGAAGAGGCTACTTTAATTCTTCCTTTCACGAGGGTGTTCCTGAGTGACTTTTAACTGTTGTGAAGTGAACTAAGTATCAGCTCCTGGGTTGCAAAGGTTCACGCGGTTGCTTCCCTGTACTCGGGAGGAACTTCGGTTGTCACGTGGGTGGCGTGTCCGTCATGAAATTCGCCTTTCTTTGGGACACCCCTCTGTAGTACCCTCTCCAGGTGGAGCTTTCAGAGCATGCCCATTTAGACCCCTAATTTTGATGTATCTCAAACTTCCATATCACTGCACCCTGAATTAGAGGCATGCCTCCCAGAAAGTGGCACCCTCAGATCTGTGTCAAGTTCACGGTGAGTCCTGGTGAGGGTGTAGTCCTAATACCTGCCTGTGGCTCCTGAAAATGAGGTTTGTATGTGGGAGGCCTTTGTGTGTGAGGTGGTTTATCTGTGTGTACATAACTGAAACCCAGTGATGCCGAGGTCACCTTCTAGAAGGCTTCTATTTGGACCACATATTTCAAGGTTGCCCTTTGGAAATGAATCACGCCATAGTGACAAGTCATTGAATGTTCATCATATCTGATAAAGAAAAGTCCATATTCTTGGCATACAAAAAAAAAAACATACCTGGTCCATTGGAGAAAAATGATTACACTTTCAAAGAGAATTCCCTTTTCAGTTTTAGGTTGGGACTGCCACTCTGAGTATATTTTATTTACAACATTTGATCTGTATTTGGACAGGTTGGTGCAATGATAAAAAAAGGTCACTGTGCTATTTCATGGTGTTGTATCAGATGCAAAGCTGGAAAACACTGTAATAAATGAGACCTGTGAAAGACATTGATGGAAATCAGTCACGTGAATTTTAAATAGTCTTTGATAAGTTATTAAGTTGTTGATTTTCTAGTGTATGTTACCAAACATTACTTTATGCTCTACTTGAAATCCTCAAGGCTGTAAACTGTTCACTATTTAGAATAAACATATTTTCTGATCTTTTAGATTTAAGTGGGTGAGGTCCCACCCCTCTCTATGCCCTCGGTGGGGATAGAAGGATGAAGACAGAGAGGAGAAGGCTCCTCGGGGTTCTTCCCTGCCCTGGCGGAGGCTCTGGGGTGGGAAGCTTTAATCAGATGCTCAGGAAGTGCCTCCCAGGGCCTGGCCCAGAATCAGTGTTGATGATTTCTTGCTTCACATCTGCTGTCCTCATTTTTTGGACTCTCGACTTCTCTGTGGTGTACCCCAGATTTTTTTTTGTTGTTGTTATTTTGAGCAATTCAACCAAAATCATCTACTAGTTTATATAAACTGAAAAGTGTCATAATTCCTGCTGATTTTGTGGGTCATCGACATGGCTGTTTCACCTGTGTCAGCCTAAGTGTTTCTGGAAAGAAGGGAGAACTGGTCCCTAGATGCTCAACACAACTGCCCTAGATACTCGACTGAACTCCTCATGAAGCCCAATCCCAACAGTTCCCCTCTGGGCCTCTGGGCAGCGAAGGCCTGTGCATCTTGAGAAAACAACACACACCCTCTCATTCTGTCAACTTGTTCCAACTCTGACCTCAGTGTGTAGGCCTTTTCAATCTGTAAAGCAAAAATCTGGACTGTTGTCTGCAGCCTGTGGACTCCCACGTGCTCTGGGTGCAACTCTCAGACGTGTGCTGGGGAGCTAAGTCGGTAGCTTGGATTTCTTCAGTGTCCCATTATCATCACCTGAATATTTAAAATGTGTTAGAGCTTGGTTTTCAAACTCTGACACAATACCACCCTAGCTTCAGAGGCTGAGGAAGGTCGACAATGGGGCCGTGGGCCATCAGCTTTGGGCCTCTAAGCACCTTTTCCAGGAAAGAGATGTGCGCAGCCCCAGAGTGATTCAATCCTGGAACAGGAGAACTGTTGGGGAGGAAAGCTAAGTAGGCCACATTCTAAAAAGTTGAAAAACAAGCTGCCAGGATCTGTTTCTTCATTCTTGCAGGAGCGCTAACCAGCTGCTCCAGGAGGGCAGGCACTGGTGCAGACCCGGGGGGCCTCTCCATGCCCCATCTCTGCCTTCATCCAAGAGAAGGTGGTTAATATGCCAGCTGCTTCTTTCTGTTTCCAACCCCTTCTTTCAACTCCTGCTGCATCAAAGGTGGTGATCAGTGTCACTTCTATGGTGAGCCAGGCAGGGGGCTTGGTACTGGGCAGAAACCAGCATCTGAGCAAACAGAAGCTGACCTTGGAAGTCAGCAGGCCCAAATGGCCACCTGGGGGCACAAGAGGTTTGGGTTTGGCAGCAAGGCCTTTTGAAAACAGTCTCTGCTGTGACAAGGGCCCTCTCCAGGCCTTGCTGGACCTGGAGACCAGCCAGGTTCTGGACTGGACTGGTGGGGACAAGGGAGAGTTCCTCCAAGGGGGCTGTTTATATTCCCGTTGGCACAGCCTGAGGTCAGACCCACTAACTGGCCTGGAGGAGAGTGCAGCCCGTGCCTATTCAGATCTAAAATCCATTTCAATCTGTAGTTCTCAAACTGTAGCCTCCCGGCCTGCAGCTGTGGCACCAGGGGGGCTGGATAGAAACAGATCTCACCCCAGATCTCTGGATCACACTGTGGGCATGGGCCCAGCAATCTGGATTCTGGTGCAGGCTCCAGCCCCAACCCTGCTCCTGGGGGGCCTCTTTTGTGTTGCTGCAGCAGGGCACCTTGGACTTTATCTGTCAGGGCGAGCCAGTGCCAGCCGCCTTAGTACCCACACAGACCTGCCACAGTAGGGAAGCCCCTGGGAAGATCCTCCTGCCTCCGCCACGCTCCTGAAAAGGAGCTTGGAAGCCCAGTACAGGTGCTCACTTGAGTCACAAGGTGTCGTTGTGATCCTTTAATTCATAGCTGCCAGCTGGAGACACCTTCCCAGGGATCTCGATGTGAGCCCTCTGGGTGGGGAGGAGCTTACAGGCCTCAGGGGAGGAGGTGGTGTGTGTGAGGGAGCAGCCCTGGGTTGTGCCCAGATTTCTAATGGCTCCCTTCTTCCCCCAAACTGTTGGAGCCTGGAGGTGTCTGTTCTGATGCCAGCCTCTTTTCATTGGTGCAGGAAGTCCATTCAGCTCTGCGTTGCTTTTAATGAGTTTTGCAAGCAAGTGGCCTCTTCCTGTGACTCACTCTGCCTTTTGTGCACCGGAGATTGTGGTTTTAAGTTTCACTTTGGAAAGTAACCACTACTTCGGCTGCTTTCTCCTCTGCTGGAATCTGAACAAGTCGCATTCATTTTGCAACAAAGAAATGTAAATGCAGGAGCCGACAGTCATATTTCTGCTCTGATTGTAAAAACATCCTTTTCCGAGATAGCTGGCGGAGCCAAGCTAAGGAGAAATGGTTTATATTTTTAAGTAACATGTTCATTTGG